TTTTTTTTTTTTTTTTTTTTTTTTTTTTTTTTTTCATTTCCTCGGGTTTTCTTATTTTAAAACTCTGTCATTTTAGGCAACAAATCTACCAAAGACACATCTTCTCAAGAGTTTCAAAAGTTACAAAACATTTTTTTTCTTAGGAAACAGCATGGTCTTAATGAACCACATTAACTCTCTTTCCTACTCAAATGGCTTGGTTTTCACACGAAAATGTCAGTAAGAACAAATAATAAATCCTTCCCACACAGGCAGATTTTCCTTTGAGGGACATTCCTTGCAGACTACGACTTCTGTCCTTCAAACTCAGGGCAAAACCAATGCAGACTGAAAATGCTGGAACCTGGTGGTGCCCCTTCAGTTCTGAGAGAGCCTGACAAATCAAAGATCCTCCAGTTTTAGCTAAGACCCAAATATTGGCAAAATTTCCTGTATTGGTGTCTATTTCCTTGGATGCAGGGGAGATTGTTGGTAGGATGATCCAGTAAACAAAAAAAAAAAATATGTGCAGAAGTGCTCCCACCTAAATCAGTGAATTTAGGCAGATGATCAAAATTTGACCTTGCAGAAACATCTTTATTGATGGGCTGCTGCTGGCTTCAGAGGAAAGAGAAGCAGAACCATCTCCCCTCTTTGCCTGATGGGTAGGAAGAAAGACACTACRCAGATAAATACAGAAGCTGGTTAAAAATGGACAAAGGTTTGCTAYTGGAAGACTAAATCCTCTTGAAAAATGTATTTATTTATTAGTTTTCTCATTTGTTTCAAGTTAAGCAGATCTTCTCCCACTTYGGGATGCTGCCCTCCTTCAGAAGAATGATGCTCTTGAAAACAACCCACCTAAACTTCCTCCCTCATGATAAAAATATAAAACTAAAATCCTACAAGAGGTATAATTAAAAAAAAAAAAGGTTCAACTTCCTTTTTGTAATTTGTTTTTCCCCTAACAATTTCCCTTAACGTTTTACTCCAGTGAAAGGAATTTSTGAGTGAATGAATGTTTGGCTGAAACCACAACCAGCAGCTGTAGTTAATCTGCTCCATTGTTCTGTGAAGATAAGCATCTTCCAGCCCTTTGCCAGAGAGCCAGGGMGCTCTCTTGGAATAATTTCTGTGATGAAACCTGCCTGTATCTTCAGAGTAATGTGCTGTTTCTGGACAGAACTCAACCATGCAGGGTATTTTTACATCTATTATAAAATCCCCTAAAATAAACTTCCCCATCCACAGGCCCGTTTTCTGAATCGCCTGGAGGAGGAAAAAAAAAAAGCAACAAAACAAAGCCACGAAACCCAAATTCCACCGTGTTTTATTTATCCTTCAGTCGAGGGGACACTTAGAGGGAAGGAAAACTCACTTGACCTGGTGAACCTACCTGTGCAATGCTGTAAAATTCAACAATGCCCTGGCAAACTGCAGGGCTCATTGACTCTCCTGCTAAATTCATGGAATATCTCAGGGGATGCAAAAGGATCATCGAATCCAAATCACTGCTTCTTGCAGCACTATCAAAGCCCAAACCATCTGACTAGGAACTTCTTTCCAAATTGCTCACTTAGTGCTAAAAATCTTCTGGAAAATGGCAAATGTTGTGTTTTTCCACCAATGTTCTGGTTCTTTAAGTCTGACCCTCCTTTGGCTTGTGGCTACTATTTGAACTTCATTCAAGTTTTAAGAAGGTGTGGTTCAAAATATGAAATTAATTATTAGAAAAATAAAATTATTAAGCTCCTGTTTGATGCACTGATGCTGAAGGAGAAACAGGCACAACTTTTGTATTTTCCGCTTCTGACACTAAAAAGGTTTCCTGAAGGCAAATTCAGATTTCACAGAAGCAAGAATTGCCTCGGTGCTTCTGAAAAACCAAGCTGACAGGGTGGCAAGATCACTTTCCACCAGCCTACATGCAATCTGCATCTCTGCTGGAACGGGAGGCAGCACCTTCAGAGCTGGAAATCACGTGCCCAGAACCAGGCATGTGTTTGCTCCCCAAAGCTCAGCTMCTGTAAAAGACTCACACAGCTCTTTTCTAGCTCACCCTCTTGGACACCAATACATTTAAAATGTCAACAGCCTTCTACTGTTACCCAATATCCTTCTGCTTTCAGGGAGATGCTTAACTTCAGTAAAATAAAGATCTGATTTCTATTCAGGCTTAGGAGGAGGATTGCCAGATTAGAAATGAGCTAGGAAAGGAGATCACAGAATCCTGGAATGGGTTGGGCTGGAAGGGACCTCAAAGACCATTCCTGCCATGGTCAGCAATGACATCTGCTAGAACAGGTTTTTCAGAGCCCCAYCCAGCCTGGTCTGGAAAACTTCTGGGGATGAGGAATCCAGAGAYAGCAAACCTACAGATGGTTTTACTCCCTGGCCACAGCAGATCACACCTCTGCAGTCCCTTTCCATGACATTAACATGGCAATCACGTTAACCAGGCAGGGCAGAGGTGTCTCCCACGAGCTTCCACCAGGCAGACTGAGGAAGCACAGCATGATGTTTTTACCTGCACTCCCTCTGCACATCTAAGGTGTGGTGGGCTCCCTACAGGCAGCTTTCAGGCCAATGACAATTGTTCTGTCCAGAGTCCTTTTCTCCTTGCTTTAGCTGGAAACATGACTGCTAACCTGTCCTAAACAATTCAGCTATTGATTTGAATCAATAACCACCTAMTAACAGCACTCTTAGACCAGGGGACAAGGATCTGGCTCCCTCTGACAGAACTTACTGACAGGTCCTGCCAGTGTTTGCAGCTCCTGTCTCCCTGGGAGGCTCCACACGCCACTGCCAGTGCAGTCACTTCCAATTTCCTCGTGTTGCCAGGATGATCTCACCACCAGCACAGYTTAAAGACACCTCTCCAAAGACTGTCAGAAGCTACTGGGAAGTGTCTTTGTCATCCCAGATGCCTCTGAGCTCACTGCTTYCCTGTTGTGAGCCAGCTGGGAGCTGCTGGGGCCAATGTGACCATGCTGCTGGGCAGGATACATTAGCCTAAGCCCAGCATGGTGCTAACTCAGCTACTCAGCTTGAAGCCACCTCAAAACATCAGCAGAAGCAAATTCATATCCAGCTGCCACAGACCACAAGAGCAAAGTTGCTGATTTATAGCTCTTTTTGGAGGCTAAGACGTATCTTTTGCTGCCTGAGAYGTTCACTTTTCTTCTAAGAAGAGCACAGACTTGTGCTGGATGCAGCAAAAGCCCTTTTGACACAGGAGCTTGTGGGCTGAGCAGAATCTTTCCATTTGTCACCCATTATGCCACCAAACTGCCAGTTGGATCAAAATTATTTCTGTACCTTGTTTCCTGTGCCTGGAGGAGGAGCCAGCTGTTTGTTCAGAGGATGAGATTCAGTCTGATGTGAGGACACCAAATTTGGGTACCCACAAACATCTGAAGCAAGGGTTAGTTAGACATAGTTGTGCACACAATATGGACTATGCACAGGGGACCTCATGTCCCCTGGGGTGCACTTGGGACATTTTCTGATTCCCAGCTGCTCCTGGTGACTGATCTCCARTTGCTGCTGCTGAATCACAGAACKTTTAAGGTTGGAAAAGACCTCTAAGATCACTGAGTCCAACCACTCTCACAGCACCACCCTGCTCACCGCTMAACCCTGTCCCCARGTGCCACATCTACAGGTTTTTTGAGCACTTCCAGGGATGGTGACTCCTCCACTGCCCTGGACAGCCTGTTCCAATGACTGAMCACCCTTTCTGTGAAAAAATTKCCCAAATATCYAACCTAAACCTCCCCTGGTGCAATTTAAGGCCATTCCCTCAGGTTCATCCCAAACCSCRGCTGCCYCCTCCTGTCTGGGAGTTGTGCAGAGCCACAATGTCCCCTCTGAGCCTCCTTTTCTCCAGGCTGAGCCCCTTTTCCAGCTCTCTCAGCTGCTCCAGACCCTTCCCCAGCTCCATTCCCTCCTCTGGACATGAAGGAGCTGAAGGATACAGGTTTCCAAAGAACTGTCACATGCCAGATGCACGGTCACACTAGGACATTTTAAATTACACCAAAAAACTACATGCAGGGAATTACATCAGAATGGGAATCTTGGAGCAAATCAGTCCCAGAGCAGAATTTTATCAGCTCCTGCCACAGGTTTCAACCACAAGTAGAGCAATGATGCATTAATGTAACCCAGTGATGGAGCCTATGCGCCCTAAAACTGACCCACAACTGAAAAAACCCTAAAATTTCCATTGCTACACTACCAAAGCTCTGTCATAAAGCATGGGAATGATGCTGAAAAGTCCTGTTCCTATTACATGTATCAACCACTGAATTAAAAATCAAACCATGTGGTTCTTCAGCACTCTGCCAGTGAGTGGTCAAGCTTAAAAGCAGCATTGGTGCTTTTGGATTAAAAATAAACACAAATCACAGGGTATTACCTCCTGGCTGATATTCAGCACCTGCTAAACTCAAAAAATAACAACAGACCCACTTGTGTGCCTGAATCTCACCTTTAATCAAAATGGAGCAAATCTGTGGGGATTTTGCCTTTTTTAAATTTTTTTTTCTTGAGACCACRAAGTATTCATCTGTAACACTGAGTATTAGGAGAGATTTCAAAAATATTCACAAATATTAATATTCGCAAAGCTTGTCACAAATCTTTAAAGATCTAATAAATGAGTTTGTAAGCCTCTGTAAGCATGGGTGGGGGAACATCTGCACTTTCATCTGTTTAGGAAACACGCCATTTAAGGGGTTTTGAGATATCACCATAGCTRCAAAGTTTTTAAAAGCAAAAACAGAGGAAAGGGAAAAATCCTGTCCCCTAGTCACAACACTTCTCCAKCCTCTTCAAACAAAACCCCTCTGGTTTTGATGCAAACACATAGCAAATGCTATTCTTGTTATCCTGAGAGGCTGCAGCTYGCTGCTCCCAGCTCAGGTTTTCTCTACCACCCAAACCACAGATTCCGAGCCTTCATCCAGCTCTGCTCCCCGTTCTCTAAATCAGCACTGGCCCCTCCACACCCCCTCTCCTGCTCACTTTTAAGGCACAGTGGGTCTGTCCCTGACAGTCCCCCAGCTCGTGCTGGCCCCACCACTCCTGAGATGGTTCAGGGGCCTGATTCATCAAAAAAAATGACCCCGCAACATGTGAGTTTTTAAGTTTAAATGGGAATGGAGTGTGAGGAGSRGCTGCATTGGGGTGGTCCCARMTTAGGCTGCTCTRAATTGYTTTGGGAACCTCTCCACTGYMCCAGAACACCTTGAGTGTCCCTCTGGATGTCTGTCAGGTACTGGCACAACTTCTCCTAATTCCTAGAAGCCTCTAGCAAAAGGAGRAGGGATTAAATTAGCCAGTGGGTATGGGCAGGTCCTCCTCAGCAGCTGGTGTGTTATTGCTTGTTTTCTCATTCATGGTGGAAACACAGTGAGCGGGCACGTGGGTCTCAGAGGATGGATGCTGGACCCCAGCCAAGGCACATCCTGGCTCTTTGGGGTACAGCACCACTCCAGAGAGTTCCTGAGTGATAAATGTGGGATCTTGTCTTCCTCCTCACTGTCTGCACATGGCATGACACAACCACAAACACAGAATGAGATGAATGAACCCTCAAACCCTGAGCTGCTGGGCTCCACCGTCTCCCAGAGGGAAAAGTCACTCCTGKGACTTAAAACAGAGACTGCACAAAGCCTTTGTGGGCTTGTGTCCCATCACAGCACTCAACACAGGAGRAAGGGGAAGAGTATGAAGGGCTTGAGGGCTTAAACTGTGAGGGTGGATATCTGTGATGTCTCTGAGATGTGACAAAAAAAGGGCTTCGCATTATTTCTTGCAGCCTTTATGAAGGAACTTAATCCCATATGCCAATTTAAATCTGTAAACTCCTCKGTTATGCAAGACTGGCTTGATCTTTTAAAGACAGCTGGGTCCTGAGTTTTTATGTATTTTTTCTGTTGCTGCCCCTTGACATATTTGCTTAAGGAGAAACAAYGTTGAGATCTGCAAAGGTCAGTTGTTGATGAGACCTTAGAATGGGCAGACAYAGGGGGGAATCAGCTGGTTGAACTTATTTTTTAGTGCTAAAGAGGCTTTTGGTCTTATTGTTATTATTACTAACATTTACTGTAGCAGATCTGAACAAAGTTAAGAAAAATCTGCATAAACACRCATCTTCAGGGACAGAATGAGATAAAGCATCCTTTTTTAAAAACCACGTGAGCAGGGGATATGGAGAGAGGATAATTCARTTTGCCTGAATTCACAGGGAGGTTTTGTTGCAGTGACAGCAATAGAATCTCTCAGAAGTCCCAAATTAGCCTGTTAACCTGAAGTTTAGCTTTGCAGTCATTTATGCTGAGAAATATCACTGAGAAGAATGAAGGGAAAAATACAGACCTTGTCATCCAGAATAGGCTCGCACTGAGAGTAGTTTATCTTGGAAGCCCATGTCCCATTGCCCAGGCATTCTCTGTAGGCATTTCCTGGTAYAGACCAAAATAAAAGAGAGATGAACACTCTGTGCTGGACTTGAAATAGCCTAGAAACTTCACAGATTCAAGRAAAGATTGACAGAACAGATTATTCACAAGGCAAATCAACTTATCCCGCCTCCGTGAGCACTGGAGCAGCCMAACGAGGAGAGGAGAAAGAAACAAYATAAACACATTTACAGACAACAAGTATTTAGAGATATTTATTAATAGTGCTTGCTTACAGCATATGAGTTCAGCAGACAGCAAAGGAATGAGAACACGGCAGGAGAAAGCTCAGTGTTACTTCAGTCTTTTAAAAAGCAGTTAAAGGATGTGTTTAAAACCAGAAAGGTTTAGGAAGGAGAATGCTGTGTATGGTAAACTTACTGCTCTATCCCAATCCCACTTATCTTACTGTAAGAAAAATTCTTGGAAATCTTGATTTTCTAGAGACTGCCTGTGCAACATTTTTATTGGTAAAACTTGGGTAAAGGACCTGAAGGAGCAAGACAAGAATATCTCCCAGCCCTGGGGCAGGCAGGGTGGGGGACACACAGGAATCTCTTCAAAGTGATCTCAGAAATGGGGACATCAAGGCTGGGATGTGTTCAGCGATCATCTGTGGAAAAGAAACCACTCCTGGTGTTTTCCCAGTTCTCACAGAGTGTAAGAGAAAATCACAAATTACTGAAGCAGAGATTTAATGTCCAAATCCAACGTCACCCTGCAGGGTTCTGGGAACTACACTGAGTAATGGGTGAACAGGGGAGCTCAATTTCTGGCAAGCACTCCGTCATCCCAAGGAATTCCAGGAGAAAGCTGCAGTTTTCCTGTACAAACCTTCCTCCACTCATCAGAAGCACATCCAACCCCAACCAATAGSTTTCTGAGGTTTTTTTAAATTCGTATTTTGAACTGTTTCTTAGAAATAAGAGAATTAAAATAAAACAGGAAATCCAGAAAGATCCCCAAAGGACAAATACAGGCAACTTCCTGATGGACTCGTCATGATGTTGTTGCTGCTCTTTACCCAATTTCTTTCTGGGCCTTTGCCATGGTCATTTAGTGCAGGAAAATCCAATGGTCCTAAATGTGCTGCTGACACCAGCCTTAAAAAAAAGATAAAGAGACTTTTGAAAAGGTGCTTTTTSTTACAGAGAAGGAAAGTCAATGACTAACAGCTCCTGCAGACGCTCCAGATGACACCATATCCACAGGGATCAGTGAATTTCATAATGCTGCTGTCTGCTTGCACTTCTCCACTGTTCCTTTTTGGAGTGACAAGGCCAAACAAAACAAAGCAGTCTGAGAGGGATTTAGGTGGTAGGATCCGATTTACAGCCCTGAAAGCCCTTGTGTTTGTCCCTTCCTTTGGCCAGTGCTGAAGCTCTCTGTGCCGAATTGTTGCTGATTTTGAGACTCTGAAGCAAACTCCCRACTATCCAAATGAGCTGATGTTTAGTCCCACTTCCAGGATAGTGCTCATATGAAACCTGTATTTTATTCATTCACACCCTTGTTTTACTCATTCTGAATCCTCATTTTCTGTGGTTGTATCCTTCCAGCTCAGCTGGGGAGGGCACAAACAGACCAACCCTGTGAGGCACCGGGAACGTGCAACCCACATCAATAACCCACATCAGGGCAGCTCCTTGGGCTGCCACAGCAGCTCTCCCACATGGGGAGAGCATGAACAGGAGAGGGATAAAACCAAACTGCATTTCTCTAGTCCAGGATCTCCTCCAGTATCAGTCACTTCTCAGAAACAACAGCAGACAGGAGATCTGACTTCTGGGAATATCTCATTCCAAACTCTAGTTGTCATTACTACTTTATACCTCACTGCAAAAATCTTTTCTTTCTTTTCCTTCCTTCCTTCCTTCCTTCCTTCCCTTCCTTCCCTTCCCTCCCTCCCTTCCCTTCCCTTCCCTTCCCTTCCCTTCCCTTCCCTTCCCTTCCCTTCCC